GGTGGCGGGGAGGGAGGGGCGGCCTCGGGGTCTGGCTCTGCAGGGGCTGAGGCTGAGGGCCGGGGGCGGCGGGGGAGCGGGAGAGGGGGTGTTGCGGCACGGTGAAACCATCAAGAGCCCGAAAGGTGTGCAAAAGCTTGAACCAGTAACCTCACCCCTTAACCGCAGAAAATCATCCACAAGAGAAAAACTAAGTTGTTCACTGCAGCAGTTTGCAGCAAGATAATGGAAACACCCCAAATGTCCAGCAACAAGAGGAATGTTAAAGGAATTAGGGTGCGTCCGTCGGAAGAAATAGTCCGCACCTTTATAAAAAGATATTTCTGATTCCTTGGGAGGCAATACACACACTTCTCATACAAATAAGACAGTAAAAGGGAAAAGCACGGTGTAAAAGGGTTTATAATTCAGGTGAAGTGAGTATGACTCGTGGTTAAAACCGGGAAAGAACCCCAGAGACTTGAATTGTTGTGTGAAGACGCTGAAAAACAGATGAATTGTGTTGAGTTAAAGTATCCTTTTATATTATGATATTAATTCTAGGAAACTATATACTAAGGGTAATTTTTATAATACCTCATTTTTACAATGAGAATTGTGGGTCGTGACTTCGGCCCTCTGTATGAGTATGTAATTGTGGTGTTTTTTATTATTACAATCTTTTAACTGTAGTATACATTCTTCATGATAACTGCTAATTCCTTTGTAGAAACACAGGATACCAAAGGTACAGGAGAAACTAGGAGAATCCGAATAAGATTAATAGGTTGTACAAATTATCAATATCCTGGTTGTGAAATTATTTTTTATTAATTTTACTAGTTTTTAAAAATTGAGACATAATCCACATACCTTAAAATTCACCCTTTTATAAGTATACAGTTAAGTACTTCTTCAAAAAATTGTGCACCCAGTACCACTAATTCCAGAACATTCTCATCACTGTCTCCATTAACAGTCATTCTCCATTCCTCACTGCCCCCCAACCATTCATCTACTTTCTGTTTCTATGGATTTGCCTATTTTGAACATTTCATGTAAATAGAATCATGCAATATGTGACCTTTTTTGTGTCTGGCTTCTTTCACTTAGCAGAGTGTTTTCAAGGTCCAGCTATATCATAGCATGAATCTGTATTTCATTATTTCTTATTGCTGAATAGCACTCCATTTTATGGATATACACATATATTTTTGTTTTGTTTTGTTTTGTTTATCCATCCATCAGTTAATGGACACTTGGGTTGTTTCCACTTTCTGGTTCTTGTGAATAAGCTTCTCTGAACATCTGTGCACAAGTTTTTGTGCGACGTATGTTTTCTTTTCTCTTGAGTGTATACCTAAGAGTAGAAATGCTGGTCATAGGATAACTCTGTTTAACTTTTTGAGAAACTGCCTGGTTTCCAAAGCATCTGCCCCACTTTATTTTCCCACCAGCATGGTCTTAAATATTACAATTTCTCCATATCCTCAACAACACATGTTGTCTTTTTAGTGGGTGTGAAGTGGACTCTCATTGTGGTTTTGATTTGCATTTCCCTGATGTTGAGCATCTTTTCAGGTGCTTTTGGTCATTTGTACATGTTCTTTGAAGAAATGTCTATTCAGATCCATGCCCATTTTTAAACTGGGTTATTTGTCTTCTTACCATAGAGTTATAAGACTTCTTTATATAATCTGGATACTAGACCCTTATCAGATATATAATTTCCAAATACTTTCTCCCATTCTGTAGGCTGTCTTTTCACTTTCTTTATAGTGTTCTTTGAAACACAAAAGTTCTATACATTGGTGAGATCCAGTTTATCTAATTTTTTCTTTTGTTGTATCTTTTTGGTGTCATATGTAAGAAATCATTGCCGAAATAGATAAACAACAAGGACCTACTGTATAGCACAGGGAACTATATTCAGTATCGTGTAATCACCTATAATGAAAAAGACTATGAAAAAAATATATATAGAAGTAACTGAAACACTTTGCTATACACCTGAAACTAACACAACTATAAATAAATCAACTAGACCTCAAAAAAATAAAAATAAGAGATAAATAAAAATTTTTAAGTAAAAAAAGATATGCAGATAGCAACATATAGAAAGATTAATATCATAAAAAAAGAATCATTGTTGAAGCCAAGCTCATGAAGATTTATCCCTGTTTTCTTCTAAGAGTTTTATAGTTTCACCTCTTACATTTAGATCTTCGTCCCGTTCTGAGTTAGTTTTTGTATCCAGTGTGTGGTAGGGGGTCCAACTTCCTTCTTTTGCATGCGGACATCTAGCTGTCCCAGCACCATTTGTTGAAAAGACTGTTCTTTGTCCCTTTGCATTGTTTTGGCACTTTATCAAAAAACAATTGACCATAAATGTATGGATTAACTTCTGGACTCTCAGTTCTAATCCATTGATCTATATCCTGTAGATACAAGATGTTACCATTGGGGGAAATTGGGCAAAGGGTACAAAAGAATTTCTCTGTAGTATTTCTTACAACAGCAGGTGAATCTCCAATTATCTTAATAAAAACTTAATTTAAAAACAAAGCAGAGATGATTTTTGCGGTGCCTTCTCCCCACCCCAACCCCTACCCGAGGCCACATCCCGGAACTAAAAAAACTTTAGTTCTAGGAATCTCCCCAGCCTTCCACTGTTGCCCTCCAGGTGGCGCCACTCTCCTTTTCATCTGGAGCTTTTCAGAAGCCCCAGCAGGTGTACGCTCTGCCAGGGCGCCTGGGACCCTGGCTGCCCACCAGCATGATTCAGGGCGGGGTCCGGGGCCAGCCCTGACTGTCCCCAAGATAACAGGGAGACTCGGGGCTGCCTTTGCTTTAGGGGCAGCTTCTAGCCTCATAAGAAGAGTTCTTCCATCCAAGAAGTTGTCCCCTATTTCTTCCGTGCTCGCATCTACCTTTGAGAGGGTTCATTCATTCATTCACCCATTCAGCACCACTATTATACAATGCTTATAACACAGCCAGGATGCTATAGAGGTCAGCCATTATTATTAATACAAATCAGACTTTTTTAGGGTGAGATAAAGAATGTAATTGCCCCCCCCACCTTTGCAAAGAATAAACGGCTACTCTGTGACAAGCTACTATCATGACTGGGCAGGGGTCACAATACATTTACCAAGGACTCACCAGGGGACAGACACTTCAAGTGTTTTATCCCTAACCCCCCGAAGAAGGTTCCAGGGAAACATCGCTGGGCTTTTATAGTCACGAAAACGAATCTCAGGGAGGTTGTGTACGTTGCCAAGGGATACACAGCAGCTGAGTGACACCGTTTCTTTTGAGCCCCTGACACAGTTCTACTTGTAGACAACTGCTAAATTGAACAAGACATTTCCCGGTAATTTAATATATTTATTTTCTCCTGATTAGGAAAAAAAGCATATATATTTGAGGATTTGAGGGGAGGGAACATTATTAGGACAACACAGCAAAGTAAAAGAAAAAGACAATCGGCCACTTTTTCCCCCTTTATTTCATTTTTACTTATATTTGATGCATACAAAAGGATGTGTGTAACATATGTATAAGTTTTAAAGCGTAACAACGCAGTAACAGCCAAGAACTCTCCTTCCACGTGTAGATCTAGACCATTACCAACTCTGTCGTGCCCTGCCCACCTCCGGAGGTAAGTACCATCCTGAAGTTTTAGTTTACTGTCTCCTTGCATTTTGGAGAAAAAAAGTATGTATGCATGCTTCAGCAATGAGCTCTCTAGTTTTTGCTCACTTTGGGGCTGTATGTAAACGGTATCACACCATGGGGCATGTTCTGGGACTCGCGGTACTGAGCACAGCGGAAGGGTCATCTTGAGCTTATGTAGCTGTAGTTCATCCTCTTCCTTTTTAACAGTTTTTTACTCTGTTTTTTGAGGGGGATAATTAGGTTTAATTAATTAACTTGTTTGTTTGTTCATTTTCACAGAGGTCCTGGGGATTGACCCCAGGACCATGCTAAGCGTGCCCTCTACCACTGCGCTACCCACTCCCCCAGTTCATCCTTTCCACTGCTGTATGGCACCCCATTGTGAATACCACAACGTGCTCAACCTGTTTTCTTATTGCTGAGTATTTAATTTTTTATGTTTTTTTTTAATTACAAAAGAAAATGCTGCTGTGAACATTCTTGTGCCTGACTTCTGACGCATACCTGCAAAGGAATGCCACTTGCGTGCATACACACCACAGAGAGGAGCTGCCTTGCAAGGATACGCAGCCTTACAAGATGATGCCAGTTGCTTCCCAAAGGTTTTGTACCGATTTATACTCTCACCACAGAGCCACATCCTCCCCAGCTCGGTATCTTTAAATTTGCTTTCTGCCGATCTAGGAGGTAAAAGCGGAATCTCCTTGGGGTCTGATTTGCTTTTCCTTGAAGCTGTGAGTCTTCTCTGAGATGCCCACTTGTGTCTTTTGCTGTCGTTTCTTGGAAGCCAGTACATAGGTGCTCTCTTTACAGCATGGGTGCTGATCTTTCTCAGGTATATTTGTGAGTTATCTTCCAGTCTGTGACTTGTTTTTTCGTTTTCTTGGTGGTTTGTTTTGACAAGTGGAAGCTTAAACATATAATACTATTGTATTATCAATATTTTCTTCTGTGGAAAGTATATTTTGTGTCTTTTAAAAGAAGTATTTCCCTATCCCAAAGTTGGAAAGATATTATTCGATATCAGTACTGTACAATAGAACTTTCTGCCATGATAGAAAGTTCTTGATCTGTGCTGCCTGGTACAGTAGCCACATGTGGCTGCTGAGCACTTGAAATGTGGCTAGTGTGACTTAGGGATCGAATTTCCTATTTTATTTAGTTTTAATTGCGACATGTGGCTAGTGCCTGCTGTATCAAACAGCATGGTTTTATGTTTTCTTCCGAAGATTAAAACTTTTGCTGGAGGCGAGACATAGCTCAGTGGTAGAGTGTGTGCTTCGCATGCACGAGGTCCCAGGTTCAATCCTCAGCACCTCCATTAAAAATTAATAAAATAAAACTAAATAAACCTAATTACCTCCATCCCAAAAAATTAAAAATTAAAAAAAATAGAATTTCGCCTTTGAGTTTTGATTTCATCTGTAACTCTTTTTGGTGTGACATAAGGAGTCGATTTTATTTTTTCTTTACGTTTGGATAATCAGTTGCCCTGACACAACTGACTGAGTCATCCTTTCCTCCCACACTGACCTGCAGTGCCGTGTCTACTCGGTATCAAACTTTCATTTATGTTCTGTTGGTACATCATCTATCAGTGGCCGCTTCTGTGAGTCTGTTCCTGGGCTGCCTGTGCCGTCCATCTGTCGATCCTTCTGTCAGTTACACGGTGTCCTAGTTGCCATGGTCTTAGATTCAGCGTGGGCATCAGCACATAGGAGGGTGAGTCCTTCAACCTTTGTGTGCGTTATGGGGCGGGCGGTCATTAGGTCTGTTTACTCATTTATAGAGGCAGTACTGGGGATTGAGCCCAAGACCTCATGCATGCCAAGCATGTGCTCCACCACTTGGGCTGTATTCTCCCCCTAAGTCTTTCAAGCTTATTCCTGGAGCATGTCTTGCCTCTTCCTGGCCTTTATTCCTCCATAGAAATCCTCCAGGTGAAGTTTTCTCTATAGGCAAAGCTGTGGGATTTTAATTACAGTTGAATTAGGTCTACAGACCAACTTAAACAATCTTTAGCTTGACCATCACTCTACATATATGTATATAACTTTCTACTCTTTTAAAGCCAACCTCGGTAATTGCGTAACCTTGGTAAACAGCTCTAAGGAACTGAGGCGGACGGGAGCCCGACCCCGTGCTGTGGGTTGCACAGGCTCTCATGTAATTCTCACAGCCCCCACCTTCCCAGCTCACTGAGGCTCACAGCATTTGCTGACCTGCCAGAAGTCGCCCAGGGGTGCAGCTGAAAGGCCGAAGTCTGAGCCCAAGTCCGTCTGACTCCACGGCTCCAGCTTTAGTGCACCCAAGTGTCTCTATCGCAGGCATTTCGCTGTTGCAGTTCCCCACGTGTAAATGACATTGTGTACATTTTGCCCTCATTTCCAGAAAGTTCATGTCAGTCTTACTTCCCCAGCTTGTTTCAGGTCAGCATTTACTACTCAGTGCCGCTGGGGAACAACCAGAAGAGAAACTGACATTTCTACAGCTGCTTCTTAGCGCCAGACATGGTACTGACTCATTCTCTTACATGATCTCAGTTGATCCTCACAACGCCAGGAAACCAAAGCTCAGAGAGGTACATTCATTTGCCCAAGATCACACAGTAAGCTTGGGACACAAAGCAGCCAGAGGGTTTCCCCTCGCCCTTCAGCTAAAATCCAGACTCCTCCCCAAGGCCTGCCAAGCCCTAATGCCCTGCCTCCTCCCTTCTTCTCCCGCCATGCCCCCCTCCAGCTGCACAGGGAGTCCTCCTGTTCCTCCAACTCTCCATGACCCTGCGGGCAGGGCCTTTGGCCAGCCAGGCTCCCACAGCTTTTCTGTGGCTGTTGCCCTCCTGCTCTGGTCAGCTGAAAGGCCACCTTTTCAGAGAGGCAGTAGCTAAAGTACCCCTTGTCTCTTTTCCATGGTCTTATTTTACTTTCTTCATGGCAGCTTATCCCTGATTGATTGTTTGTTTGCCTGCTGTGTTAGTCAAGGTCCTCCAAAGAAACAGAAGAAATAGGATGTGTGTGTACAGAGACAGACAGACCGACAAAGATTGAGATTTATTATAAGGAATTGGCCCATGCAGTTGTGCAAATGAGCAGGTCCTAAGGTCTGCAGGGTGAGTCAGCCATCTGGAGACCCAGGGGAGCCAATGACTTAGCTCCATCCAAGTCCAAAGGTCTTAGAACCAGGAGAGCTGATGGTGTGGTTTCTGTCTGAAGCCTGGCAGGCTCTAGACTCAAGAAGAGCTGAGGTTTTCATTTGAGTTCAAAGGCAGGAGTAAAAAACAAAACTGATGTCCCAGTCTGAAGGCCATCAGGCAAGTGTAGTTCCCTCTTTGTGAGTTCTTTTGTTTTATTCAGTCCTTCAACTGATTGGGCAAGGCCCACCCACCTCGGGGAGGACCAGCTACTTTACTCAGTCTACTGATTTAAATGTAGCCTCATCTGCAGACACCCTCATAGGAACACCCAGGACGATGTCTGACCAGATATCTGGGTGCCACAGCCCAGTAGAGTTGACAAGTAAAATGAACCACCGTATTTGCTTATTGTCCCCACTCCACCTTCAGCTACTAAGGCAGCTGCTGGTCCTGGAACATAGTAGGTGCTCAGTACATGGCAGTAGATTAAGGAATGACAGCCTGGATCCCAGCCCTGCTCTGAGCAACTCTAGTTTATTTATTTATTTATTTTTTTGGAGGGTAATTTGGCAATGTCTATTTTTTTAAATTCTCTTTTTGTTTGTTTGCTTGGGGGTTTTTTGGGGGGGTTATTAGGTTTATGTATTTATTATTTAATGGAGGTACTGGGGATTGAACCCAGGACCTCATGTGTGCTAGACATGTGCTCTACCACTGAGCTATATCCTCCCTATTTTTTTGATTGCAGTATGGTTGATTTACAACATTGTGTTAGTTTCTGGTATACAGCATGGTGATTCAGTTATACATATATATTCTTTTTCATTATAGGTTATTACAAGGCATTGAATATAGTTTTCTGAGCTATACAGCAGGACCTTGTTGTTTATCTACTTTATATATGGTAGTGTGTAGCTGCAACTCCCAAAGTCCTAATTTACCCCTCTCCCCTTTCTCCCCTGAGAAAGGGGTTTGTTCCCCCATAAGTTTGTTTTCCACTTCTGTGAGTCTGTTTCTGGTTTGTAAATGAGTTCCTTTGTGTTCCAAGTTTATTCTTTTTCTGCCATAAGAAATTTCTTCACACTGATCACTGATGGTTTACTGAAAAGAAAAACGTAACGTCTAAAGTCAAACCAATGTCCACAAGCAAAGGCATCGTTTTCTTTTCGAGTGACGAGCCCCTGACTGGGAGTGTGAGGCAACCCAGCTCCTTGGGGCTCCTCGGTTCTCCATTCCCAAGCAGCAAGATTCACTCCCATCCTGCTCTTCTCTGAGTGCCTGACTGTAAGCCTGCTGGGCCTGCCGCAGAGCTTCGAGGTGCTCAGAGACAGTCTTCCTGTCACTGCAAAGCGGCAGGAGAAGCAGCCCTCTGGGGGCTCTCCACCCTCCGGGAGGGGTGGCATGGCTGAATGGTTATTAGTGACTCACCGGGAGCCGGTGACAGTGAGCAGAGATGGGTGAGAACATCTCGACCGGCCAGCAGACTGGGGAACAGCGACAGAATAGTGGCAGTTCAGTAGATCGAAAGGGAGCGTCTGTGATGCGCCCAGCCCGTGGTGCGTGTCTTCACATACTGGGCCGCCGGGCCCACCACCCTAGGGTTTTGTAGTCAGAAGGCCCTCTGAGCAAACCTGCCTTCACGTGAACAGCTGAAATACCCACACGCGGTGTCGGGGAGGGTGAACCCGTCACACTGCATGAGTAAGGCGGGAACACATCTCACGTGCTGGGACCGGCTGCCAGTGTCCCCGGGGGGCGAACGCGGTGCAGTTTGTGGGAGCCCCAGGAAGTTCAGCCACAGGGGCAATTTTGTTTCTCTTTCAAAACAATCATTGGGGCCTACTGTACGTCGTGCTCTGCTCAGGGTTGGCGGTGAGGGGAGGGCGGGCATGAAACTGGATTGCCTGAGAGTCAGATGAACCCCAGCCAAGTAGGGACGCCAAGGAGAGAGGGGGAGGACTGGAGGGAAGGAGGGAGGAGGAGGGAAGAAGGGGGGGAATACTTGGAATTATTAAATATCTAATATTTAGCCCCCCGAAAGACTCAAAGTAGTCATCAAGGAAAAAACAGTCAGAACATTACTGGTTTGTATTTTGTTTATATCTTGCTTCATACTGGCCGGCCAGCCAAGCATCCTGGTGTTCGAGCAAGCCCAGGGGCCACTCGGCCCGGGTTCCAGCCCTGCCCGCCGTGGGTGCTGCAGGGATTTAAACATGGGGCCAGGGGCCAGGCCTCTAGAGTCAAGTGAAACCTGCATCCAGTTCAGATAAGTTACTTGAGTTCTGGGGACCCTAGACAGCTTATCTTTGGGGAAAAAAAGAATTTCCTGTTCAGTTAGTGTGCAGTGGTCCCCAGGACCACCCTTAGGATCAGTGACTTGCTAGAAGGACTCAGACAACTCAGAAAAGCTGTTAGGCTCATGGTTACAGTTTATGACAGCAGAAGAATAAAGATTAAAATCAGCAAAGGAGTGGGGAGGGTAGAGCTCAGTGGTGGAGCATGGACTTAGCATGCATGAGGTCCTGGGTTCCATCCCCACTACCTCCTCTAAGAATAAGTAAACCTAATTACCTCCCCCCAACCAAAAAAAGAAAAAAAGATGGCAGAAAAAAATAACAAATAAGTTTACCTAATCACCCCCCAAAAAAACATAAATCTAGAAAAAAGTCAGTAAAAGAAAAAGTTGAGGAGTGAGCATGTGTGAGCATCCAGCCGTCCGCGTCCAGAGGAGACCTGCAGATGGTGTTTGGTTCTCCCAGCAGCCACGTGTGCCAACAGGCACAGAATGTTGCAAGCCAGGGAGGCTAAGCTGGGCCTCAGTGTTTGGGGTTTTTGTGGCAGGTCAGTCACGTAGGCAGGGAACACCCCCCATGACTGACCAAGGTGGCCACCCCTAACCACGTCCCACTAAAACAGCGTGGCCCAGGGCCCCAGGCAAGAGAAAACAGGGCTTGCCATAAATCACATGGTTAGCATAAGCCGCCGGGCCGGCCCAGGGCCCCAGGTGTACCAAGGCACTCTTACCAGACAGGATATTCCAGGGGCTTATAGGTTCCCTCCCAGGAGCCAGTCAAGGCCAGTCCTTCCTATGAAATGCGCAGGGTTTGGGCCCCCCAAGCCTGCTGAGTTATCCCTTTACTGCGCTCGATGTGAACATTTACCCTGTTTGTCGGCCAGGGTCCAGCCAGGGAAGTTGAAACCACTGTAGGCATTTGGAACAGGCAGAATTTAATTCGAGGTTGGTTACAGAGGGGACTGAAAGACTGGGAAGCTAAGCAGGAGACAGGGGTCCAGGAACAGCCGCAGCAGCAGGAGGCCGCTGCCACCCCTGGGGCCAGAGGTGACATTGCCAGAGCCCAGAGGCCCGGAGTCCCGAGTGGGGCTGCCGGGGGCGCTGGGGCACAGACCTGCAAAGGAGCGGCAGTCCCGCCCCCAGCAGCGGGAGAGAGGGAGGA